CATCTTCTAGAAGTCTCACAATTTGTACCTCTAGGATTTTTCCTAAAGATCACATGAGGTCAGGTCGGTCACGTGACCTCACCACTATAAGTCAATTGAGGAAAATGAAAACTGCTATTCTGGCGCCGGGAACGATCTCAAACTATCTCAAGCACACGGATCGTGATTTCATGCACTCCTTGCAAGGTAAGACGCTTCAATTTTGCATTGTTGACGTTGCGTGACGTCATTTATGACGTCACTTGGGTCATACGAGCTTTTCGTCAATAAGTCCCGATCAAACTGAACTAGCGAGTCGGTCAAGCCACCAATGGACTGAGAAAGACCTGCCAAATCGAATAATATGCAATATGACCTCCTTTGACCAATTTCGCGACCTAGGGGTCTCTGACCTGACCTTGACCCGAGGTCAACACCTCAAGTTGACCTCACCCGAACAAAAAGTATACCATTCGACGCGCCTGAACAAGGCGAGCACGTTGATGCTAAAATCGCGCTCTGCGACTGTTTTTTTAAGAAGTTATTTATCAAAAACTGAACCCGTACCTTGGGTCACTTGATCTGACCTCAGAGGTCACCGGTTGATCTGAGACCTTAAAATCGGGTACTAGTTGCTGTGTCTCCTAACGGCACACACGCTCGTTTTTTCCGCAACGCACTATCTCCATCAGGGGCGAAAAACGACGAGTGGGTCGTACCAACCCTCCCCCGGCCGGCGCGTATGTAGAAAACCAACAGGTCCGGCGGGGTTAACGCTCGCCCTTATTTGTGTTTTGCTAGCCGCAAACGCACAGGGCGGGGCTAGGTTATTGGTTGACCTTCCAGGTCAGGTCAGTGACTCAAAAGTCGGGAAAATCGGGACTTGTTAAAACTTTGGAGAGTTAGGTTGTTTGCTGTTGCGAGCTTTTTCGGGGCGCTGATCACGAATTTCATGTTACCTTTGATCATCGATGATGTCTTGATGTTTTTAGGCCAGGTCTGGTCAGGTCAGGTCAGGTCAACCAGTAGGCGTCTTGCTAGCTGTCCATAGTAGGTGTCAACTACCACTGACAGCTTCGTGACATGGTACGAAGGCGGCAAAATTACTTCGAAAATGTTCAAATGTGTGCTAAATTTGAAATCAGCTCCAAAAACTAACCTAAAAATAAATGAACCCAGAAGAAGTGAACTAAGGTCATCAAAGGTCAATGACCTTGACGTGACCTTCACGTGATCTTGACACCCACCATAATGCATGGGACCACAATCATTCCACATGTTTGAACGTTTACAATCACAAAAAGACTGGAAACGAGCGGATAATAGCCGTTTTCACGATGGGCTATCCAGCGAATGCACCTGATTTGACCAAATCTGCACACAATTTCTTTTGCATCAAATATCTTCATTTTATGAATTTATTTCAGTGTTTTAATCGATGATGCTCTCTGATAATATGACAAAGCAGGCATATAAGCAATTAGTGCAACCCTAGCTGATAGCTGCTAAGAGACACACTGAACCTGATTTGACCAAATCTGCACCTGATCTGTACCAGATGTGCACCAAATATGTACCAGATGGCCGTCGTGAAAACGGCTAATATGCCGTTTTTACGAAGGGCTTCCTGGCGAATGCCCATCTAATTTGAACAAATCTGCACTAAATGTGCACCTAATCTGCACAAAATGTGTACTTAGATGGCCGTCGTAAAAAGTTCAAATTTTGTTTTCCTTTTCTTTTTAACTGAACTAGATTGAACAAGATTTTCACTGGACAAGATTGTTGACGGCCCTCCTGTGAAACAAGACTCGATGAATTCTTAAACTCCCTAGTTATTTTGTAACAACCCTAGGTTCGTTGCATACTAACTAGGGAGGTTGCAACGACCCTAGTTTCGTTACAACGTCCCGGAACGAGCAGTTATTTTGTAACGTCCCTAGGGTCGTTGCAAACAAACTGATCGTTCAGGGAGGTTACAACCACCCTAGGGTCGTTGCAAACTAACTGAAATCGCATACTCCCTGTAACATTTACATTATGTAGTACCTATCTTCAAATGGAAGTCGGCTGCCATAGGACTAAACGTTTTAACTTTCACTGAATAAAAGTATGTTTTAGTTCCGAAAAGCCGTCGCCATCTTGATTGGAAATTGAAACAACAGGCTGGTACCTACGTCCCTGCGATTAAAGGGACCCTCCCACCCAGGGGCGTCGACGCGTAAGGAAAACTGGTCCGACTTTTTCTCGGGGGGCTCCCACCGGTGGGGGCCCCCAGGTGTCGAGGCGCAGCAGGTCCCCCGCGGTCTCTAGCAGGGCCCCCCGAGCCGCAGTAGGGCCCCCGCGGTCTGCAGCAGGGGCCCCCGCGAGCCACAGCAGGGCACCGCCTAGTCGAAAAAGTGGTCCGACTAGTCGGAAAAGTCGGACCGGTGTCGACGCCCCTGCTCCCACCTTCAAAAAAGTAATGAATTGGCATGAAAGTGATGTCGCTTGGTTCAGAAAGAGCAAAAACGAATATCTACCAAATTTCATCGAAAAATATTCACCGGTTTTCAAGATATTAGACTTTTACTTTTGTTTACTTTTTGGGATCTCCGCTGTTCCTGGCGACTTTATTTGAAATTGCGGCATTTGTTGCGCGCAAAGCAGCATATACCACCGCGTGCTACAAAACGTTTTAGTCAAACATTTAACCCTATTCCTGGCGGGGGGGGGCCTCAGGAGCCCCCCCCTGAGGTTTTTTGGTTATTTCTCCCAAACGCGTTGAGCTAGGAAGCTCAAATTTTCTGACTTTTCCTATAAGGCTTCTACGCAACATGTCTGAAAATTTTTAGTTGATCTGACTTCAGGTCAGGTCACCAGAGGCGGTTTGGTGACCCTACCTCAGAAAAGTTTGCAATCACGCCAGAGCTAGAGTTTTTGACCGATCAATTTCTTCTCTTCAGGCTTTAGTTAGGGTACCAGTATGTGCAATTTGTTTATCTCGGAATTTTGATATCGGTGACCTAAGGTCAGGTCAATTTCGCGACCTCCCCATTATAAGTCAATGGGGGAAAAATCAACTCCCTGTTTTTACCACTAAAACGGGTCGGAATGGCCCCATATACCATACATGACTTCATATACGATCAACCTTCACTACCTTGAGGTCTGTTTTGCTGTTGGGCAGCTGTGAGGTCATGTGACGTCATCAAAGGTCACCAAAGGTTTTTGGCCAATAACTCCGTACAGGAACAAGATACAGACGCGTGGATGGTCTCATTGTGTTCAGCTCGTCAAGACGCATCGAATGATATACATGATGACCTCGAGGTCACGTGACCTGAGGTCAACCTTTGACCTTGACCTTTCGAGGTCAACATATATATCATTCGATGCGGATTGACGAGAGGATCACGATGATGCCCTTAGTTTGTTCCTATCTTGACTAATTCGAAAGTTATTCGAGAAAAACTCTCTCCATATCTAGCGCCGCCATTTTGACTTTTTCGACCCCTGTGACGTCATCTTTGACCTGACCTGAAAATGACCTTAGTAAAAATTGTAGACCTTGTCCATGCGTATCCGATGCCGTTTACCGCTTGTCGTTATCTTGCTTTGTTCTCGAGATCTCAGGGGGGGGGCCGAATCGGCCCCCCCCCCCGCCAGTTTCTTGTCCCGGCGGAGCCCGCCAGGAATAGGGTTAACGGACGTTCGAAAGCCTGATGACGTCATCAGATTCCCGTAATGGTTAAGAGATAGGGACCAAAAGGGAAGAAATTTCTTGAACACCATAAAGCTGCGGGGGTTGCGACCAGGATAAATGGTGGTTTCTGAGCCTGGCCGCAAACTTGGCTATCTCAACTCAAAACTAATGTTAAGGTGGGAGGGTCCCTTTAAAGCACAAACTGGAAACGTGGTGTTGTCAGTCGCGGTTGTGTTTGTTATTATAGAGCAGGCGTTTATCAAAACAAAGATCAGCAGAATGTTATTGGTTAGCAGTGACACCCAAAATAAATCAGGCATACGATTAAGATTTAGTAGTAGCTTAGGCGCGCCGAATGAAAGTCAATGAAAAAAATTATCTGCCAAAGACTTCTAAAAAACAAACTGCAAATTAGCCCCCCTCTCCTCCCCCCCCCCCAAGACTGGCTGACAGCAGCGATCACCTCTGTGCAAACTGCAAAAGGCACCTACCTTGGCTGGCAAACACTCTCTCAAAGCCAGGTGGGCGTGTTCAAACTGCAATAATCACCAAACAACACAGTGCTCTTTAGCCGGGGATCGTACGGGTGAAGCGGCATGTGACTCAGCTGTACACAGGTAGCCATGGAAACAGAGCCAGCAGCAGCGGCTAACACAAGCTTGTGAACAGTGGCCAGCAAACGAACGCGTATAGAAAGAATAAGGCAGAAGTGTTGCACAGCTCATTAAAAATTGGACTTTCAGGGGCTAGTGAAGTGGGGATATGACAAGGGATAGATGAAAAGGCGGGGAATAAACTTGATAAGCACGAGAGGAAAATAACCAAAAGAATGCATCAGGAAGCGGTCATCTGTAATATCTCAAACACATTACAAACATATGGAGGAATGAAGATAAACAATTGGTACAACATAAATGGATACACATAGAAAATATAAAATTGCTCGAAAAGCTTATGCAAATAAACGTATATGTACATACACTGCAAAGCTGGCTAACTTAATCAATGGCAATGTGTATGTGTAACGTCAAACAATCAACCAAAGTTGGTATGCAGACATGGACACGAAAATTGCTCGTTCAATACGTAGCATCAAAAGCTCTGAATAGACTAAGCAACTTGCAATGCTTATTGATGAGGTAACGCTTATGTTGAAGAGTTTTCAACATCATCAATAATCCTTATTGCAAGAATCCTAACCATGAAAGTTACAGGAAGAAAATTTAGATCATCAGACCGACCGTGTCCAAGTCTCAGCCAACAGAGCACAACACCCAGACGCCATGAAGCTATGAGAACGACCTCCCATCTTATTTGTTCTCCCAGTAAGACTTACTCGTTCTCCCAGGGACAGACGCTGCTTTCGTCGAGCTTCTGCGGCGGTGGCTCACCAGACGCGGGTGCCACCACGTCGCCCCGCTTCGGCGAAACCCCCTGCCTCGAGGTGCCCTCCGCCAGCTCGCTCTCCTCAAGCCGCGCTCTCCTCCTCTCGCTGGAGGATTTCTTCCGCGGCTCGCGCCTCGCACGTGACTCCTTCCTCTCGCGTTTCGCGTCGGCGGAAGCGCTTCGTGACCTTCTCCTTGCAGCATCTTCGGAAGTCGCTGCCTCAGCACCAGCACCCAAACCTGATGGCCCTGCCACTGCGGCGCCCGGAGGCTGCCCCTCGAAGATTTTGACTTTCTTCTCCTTGCGTCGCGTGCCTCGTTCCCGCGGAAGGTTGGCCTCGCACTGTTTGTCCGTAGTGGAGCCATAGTCGACGCTATCGCCCGTCTCCACAGTTTGCGCGCAGCGATCTGTCAGCGTAACGATCTCCGTGTGGAATGGACCGCCAGACGCTGAGCCTGATTTTGTCGCACCACCAACAGCGCCTGATGCGGATGCTGACCCCAAACCGACAGCTCCCTCCGGCGCCAGGTGGGAAGCGGACGCTGGAGATCCTGTTGTCGCCGACGGCGGTGACTGAGGCAGAGGTGGAGGAGGGGGCGTGGGCTCGTCGCGCTCGTCGATGGTGGCTAGCGGTGCGGTCATATCCTGGAACATGGCCGGAGGCGCGATGGCGGGGGTCCAGGCAGCAGGGACGTCGCCGGAGACCACTGGAGGTGGAGGGCAGAGCGCAGGGCCGACGACCGCAGCTGCCACCTGCAGGACCAGACAACGGGCGCTAGTTGTTGGAAGACAACAGCTGAAAGGGCATAGTTCCTGCGTAATGCCTGCGGTGCCTACATGATATGTTTAATGCTTTACTGCTGTATGCCTAAGAATGTTCCACAGTTGACTGTTCTGAATATAATACAGCATGAAGCTAGACCAGATACACCTCACAGAAACTAAGAACAAAATCAACATCATTGCGATATCAAGATCCTGATTGAGATACATTGATAACATCTTCACATGACGTTGCTCAACAAGCTCCAATGAAAAAGAGTAAAGAACAACTCTGGTTCTCATTGAAATCAGTCTTACCTGATACTCAGCAGTGGTGGGCGATGTTCCAACGGCAGCATCTTTTACTTCCACAATGTATTCGCCATCCTTCGTTTCTCTTCCGGAAGCGCCTTCCTCCGCTGCTGAAGCTGGCAGGCTCGCGGCATCCCCAGGCAGCAATGTTGCCTCTTCGCCCTTCGCTCGGCTGTGTTTTCGTTCCACCTGCGCCCCAGATGAGGAAGGCCTTCCTGGCACGAGCTCCAGAGGCGCCACTGCCGAACATTCAGCACCCTCAGGAAAGAAAGCAGCTCCAGCTAAAGCTCCTCCTTTCAACGATCCCCCCGAGGTTGGTGAAGGACCTGCGACTGAAGCTTGCTCTTTTGCCGCACCCTCTGCTCCGCTTTTGGCTCCAGATGCCAGCCCCGGGGAGCCAGCTTTTTCTGCCGGGGTACCTGCCGCTGGCGAAGAGCTTGCCAGCCCTGAAGCAGCTGCAGTTGCTGCTGACCCTTGTGCTGCAGTTGCCGAAGTGCCACTACCACCCGGCACCGTTGACGTGGTCGTGGAACCACCGGGACCCTGTACGATATTCTTTGGAGAGGAGGAGGCTAGAAAGGACTGCTCCGAAGCTTTGGGAAGGACTGAGGAACCGGGAGTGTTGCCTGACGCACTTGAACCGGCACCAGACGGAGGTGCAGAAGCACTGGTTGAAGATGGTGCCGGTGGCGTAGCCACAGCGGTAGATGAAGCAGAAGCGAATGCAAAGGACGCAGCTGTCGCCCCAGGCGACGGCGAAGAGGATGCGGAAGCGGAAGCGACTCCCGCAGGCGAAGCAGCAGCACCTGATGTTGCTCCAGACGAGGGAGCTGAAGGGGCGCCAGGGACGACCGCAGAGGCGGGGGCCGAGGCTGGCACCAGAGCCGTGGAGCCGCTGGCACCGGTACTCGGAGGCGGCTCAGAGCTCGGACGTGCTGGACAAGGACTTGGGGAAGGACTGAGCCCGGGAGCCGGTCTTGCTGAGGGAGGCGGGGTGGCCGGCGCCCCCAGAAAGATGCCGGCGTCCTCCTCCTTCCTGCAAAGGTCAACGGGCAACGGTCAGAAGTCAGTGGTCAGAGGTCATGATTCAGCGGTCAGAGGTCAACGGTCAGCGGTTAGAGGTCAGCGGTCAGAGGTCAGTGATCAGCAAAGGTCAGAGGTCAGGAGACAGGAGACCAGTGCACAGATGGTGCTGGTTTATGATAAGTTGCGTGGTGTTAAAAAAAAGAAAATAAGGAGATACAAGTCAGGTGAGACGGCGGTGTAAGACTGAAATGGCTGCAGCTTCAAATGACAATGTAGATCCACTCGACAGTGCAGCCTGGCGTAGAAGGGTTACAAAAAGATAGGATTGGGATTTGGGGTATGTGATTTGCACGCAAATTTCAATCAGAAAATACATTTAGTTAGTACCTAAGTGCAACTGTGCAAGCAGTGTTGTTGTTTTCAGATATTGGTCAGCGCATATGCCAACACCATATGTTACTCATGGAAGCCAAATGCTGATTGCCCTTGTTTTGCTAAAATAAAGTGATCAAAAACAAATTAAAAACGCAAAAGATTTTTTAAATATTTACAAAAAGCGCAACCGAATAAACTGCTATTAAAAACAAATACAAAAACGCAGCAAAGACGACCTTGTTGATGCGCATAAAACCTCACCAACGTTCCAAACAAGGAACAGGAACATAAGTACGTGTATTTAAATATGAATTGTGCCACCCATAAAATGTCTATTGTATGCAGTGTCGTTTTTTTTTAACATAAAGTGCAATTTTTGGTATCAACGATGTCGTATTACAGCGATTCCAGGTGTTGTAAGTATCGACGAATTTCAACGATTATCTTTACAGGAAAAGATAATTAGGCCATTTAGTACATTTATCCTATAAAAAGATCAAAGGATGGCACAAGATTGTGTCCTTAATCTACCACATTCTACCCTTTACAAAAAAAAATGAGGGATAGTGAAAGTGCTTCGCTACGTTTGGGTTATAAAGCTTTTCAAATTATCTCAATGTCTTCACTTCAATTGAACTTTGAAAAAAAAACTGCATTTGTCATCGTAAGCTGCACATCGGAACATCAAACCTGCCTAAATGGCGAGTGTAAGCTATTTCCACGCATCATCTAAACATTTTTACGTGCAGCTGCATGTTATGTGTTTCAACAGCTACATACACCTGTTCCTTCTAACAATTATGGTAGCCATCAAGTGTGTCCATCATATTGCGCACAAATTGTGTACGTGAACAAAGTATGTGAGCTATATTAAACACTGAACACGGTGTTAACATGTCAACATGGATCATGCACCATCGAAGAGCACCCGTTGTACACACCATCCAGGCTGCTCACAGTTAGTAGCGAAGGTTGGGAAGGGCGCACGCGCAGGGGGGGGGGGGATCATCTCTTGTGACTAGAACTATGTTAGTGCCTGTGTGATTACTGATTGGGACTTGTGAGAGTCTATCAGTGGCTATTATATTAGTAATAAGTGGTTAGTGATTAGTGATCGGTGTTTGTGCACGTTGGCTGCGGAACACGACCAAGGGGTGAACAAATGTAAAAGACTACTCGTAAACCACAATTGTCCATAAACATGATAGATGAACGCAATGCTTATGGTTCTACAGTGCTACACTGAAATGAAACATACATTAAAACGTTAGCTTATGCCAATTGCCAGTGTTGTTCAACATATTTCCACAAAACTTATACATTGGTGCACCCCGTGGTCGGTAACGAAACAGTGCATTGGTAAAGTGATCGAAGAAACAAAGAAGCTTGCCAATGCGAAGGTGCCAAAGCGACCCGAAGACGTTGCAATTGGACGTTGCCATTCTCACGACAGACGAACAGAGCACTCAGTTGTAAGAAAGATGCGGAAAATGTCATCAATTGTGGGTGTTTTTTTTTTTGCAGATGCTGAGGGTGTGTGGTTCTGTATAGTGTGTGGTTTGGAGGGTTGTAAAAGTCAGCGGATATGTGTATCATAAACCGATGACGTGTCTCTACTCTGTGCAACTGTCTCTAGAGTCTCGGATATATGCCGCTGTGAATATCACCTGTGTGCCGCTGTGTCTCTTTGTTGTGTATGTCCCTCAACTATGCTCTCCGCTGTTAGAGGCTTTAGCGACAGGCCACTTTCATTTATAAGCGTCGCAATGTTTCGCTGTGTGCCGTGTTTTTTTTTTTTTTGTATGTATGCCGTGATATTTTAGCTGTATGCTGGGGCCAATGTGTTAGTAACTCGTGTGGTCATTTGTGTCTCTCAGCCTTTTGTGTCGCTGTGTCTCTCGGCTGTGCTTTGCTATGCACGTCTGCTACGTGTCCTTGTGTTTCTCGACTGTGTGAGTACACCACTATTTCCCGCTGTGTTGCTCTGGCCTAAGGGATCAGCAATCTGACGATGGGACGCAGGCTTAACTGCCGACCAAGACCGGAGCAGGATTTCGACACGGTGCAGCCGGACACACACGCACACACGCAGCATCGCCGACAGGGCACGAGCGAACGCACGCGAGTGTGCGGGCACACACGCACGCACGCACGCACTTACAGCACAGGAACGGTCGGCCTTGGCCGTTCTCGACTTTGCAAGTCACCCCTGCAAAATGGGTAGCTCACTGAACGCACAAAACGGGCCCGAGAACAGAGCACTAGCGACAAAATAGCACTAGGCGGCAGAAACTCACCAGAAGCATGTCACAGAGTCGCGACCGGCAGTCTGGCAACTTTGTGCTAACGTAGTTTAGCTAGCCGAGGTTGTAAGCGGTTTGGGTGCTATTGCTAAGCGTAGCGAGGAATCACTATTGACTAACTTCTAAGCTCGCTTTATGGCGGTAATCGCAATGCGCCGTGTGGTTTCAGCTGCCTTTAGAACTTTGTATTTAGTCCCAATTTTTAAGCTGTAGCCTTCAAATATGAAGTTGCTGTGTTGCTTAGTGCTTAATTAGGCTCCTTACTTCATGTTCTCGCGACGATGAGCAAAGTTGATGAAGCCTAAGATAACAAAATTAACTAAGTGTTATTATGTAGCAAAGCGAGACACTATAATTCCGAAAACGCATTGCCTGGGTTACATCATGCATTAGGCTCACTTTTCCGATGTCAGTGCACTTGTTATCTCCTTTGGGAATTTATTATTAGGCAAATTTGACGCACTCACGCTGCGAGAAGGCCAAAGACTGATGACACTTCTTCTCCTGTCGACAATTCACAGATATGAGTCGCTAAAACTAAATCATTAAATACAAGAACTTCTACGAGGAGCTACAGCACACGCTAAACTTATTTTATGGCCTTGCACTAAACGCTGTAAATGCAGCTATATAGTATATACGTTAATACCTACATGTCCCCTAACATGTGGGCCTTTACCGAATGCCCTTATAACAGCATACCAAAAAAGTTCGACAGATAAAAAGCATGATTTCAATATCCTAAGCCCTAACCAATAATCTGCATATTGTCGTGCTAGACAAGGTTCTAGAGGTCTGTCATTATCAAACAAATAACAAAGATCATAGAATGTGTTGTCTTAGACTCTCTCGATGTCTGTTTCTCGCGAGAGATATAAGTATTTTGTTTGCAGTAACTACGAAGGTAGCCTGGTTTACCCGTCCTAAGAAAGAAGGCCTGACTGCCTGCCTGACAACAAGGTAGAATAGTGTCTGAAATCTGAAAGCCACAGAGTCGAGACTGCCGGGTTCTTAACCCGCGCACCGACGGGGGGGGGCGGATATCCGCCCCCCCCCTGAGGTTTTTCGCGAATAGCGGGAAAACCGCGGCGCGTAGCGCCGCGAAATTTGGTATGACTATAACCTCATCAATTTTACACATGGTGTGCAAGTTTGAACCTCCTACCTTTTAAGGTCAGGTCACCAGGTCACTTTGAATGACCCAACCTCAAGTCACTTTTTTGCAACTTTGTCACCGTGCCAGAGCTACAGTAGATGTCGGAGGCCTTTGAAACTCACAGGATATTATTAGGTCATTAGTAGCTACAATTTGTATATCTCGGAATTTTGATATCGGTGACCTAAGGTCAGGTCAATTTCGCGACCTCCCCATTATAAGTCAATGGGGGAAAAATCAACTCCCTGTTTTTACCACTAAAACGGGTCGGAATGGCCCCATATACCATACATGACTTCATATACGATCAAACTTCACTACCTTGAGGTCTGTTTTGCTGTTGGGCAGCTGTGAGGTCATGTGACGTCATCAAAGGTCACCAAAGGTTTTTGGCCAATAACTCCGTACAGGAACAAGATACAGACGCGTGGATGGTCTCATTGTGTTCAGCTCGTCAAGACGCATCGAATGATATACATGATGACCTCGAGGTCACGTGACCTGAGGTCAACCTTTGACCTTGACCTTTCGAGGTCAACATATATATCAATCGATGCGGATTGACGAGAGGATCACGATGATGCCCTTAGTTTGTTCCTATCTTGACTAATTCGAAAGTTATTCGAGAAAAACTCTCTCCATATCTAGCGCCGCCATTTTGACTTTTTCGACCCCTGTGACGTCATCTTTGACCTGACCTGAAAATGACCTTAGTAAAAATTGTAGATCTTGGCCGTGCGTATCCGATGCCGTTTACCGCTTGTCGCTATCTTGCTTCGTTCTCGAGATCTCAGGGGGGGGGGCGGTCATCCGCCCCCCCCCCCGTCGGTACGAAGTTGGCGCAGACCCCCGTCGGTGCGCGGGTTAAAACGACACGTTTAAAGTGCATTTTATATGGCACGTGACAATAATGCACAGTGCACACTGCACATCTACTTCGGTGGAGTCTAAGTGCCACTTTCCAGCGGTCATGCGTGCAAAAATGCGGCAAATGAATTTTACTGGAACCCAAATCTCATAATCAGCGTTGCAACTATAGTTCTTATTAGACAACTAAAAAGTAAAAGAACGCAATGAACACAATTTTACTTAGAACAAGCGCATACATTTCTAACTGCACACAATAGTAACTGGACGTTTGATAACTTTTGCCTTCCAAAACGTCATACATTTCAGAGGCATAGTGCAAACACTTTCATGGAGCAAAACAAAATTGATTTTTGGGGAGGGGACATACCTGTACGGCGGTTCACAGTCCGGCTTGGCTCCGCCCCCTCCAGTGGAAGCGACCGCTGATTGGTCCTCGCTGCTCAGACGACCAGAGCTGGCCACCAATTGGCTGATGTTTGGTGGCGTGACAGACGAGATTTTCTTCTTGCCGGGAGCCCCAAATGTAAAGAATCTGCCATCGGTGGAAAAAGCGTTGATGGAAAAATATAGCATATAGGTGAAGGTCAATAGAAAAAAAACACACACAGATTTGTTGCTTAGAGGCTGATACTGGATTATGTTCCGCGTCCCAAGTGTGAGACAATAATCGAAATTCAACACAATTACCGCCGCCAGGAGGTTATGACATGGTGAATGAAGAGTTTGTAGACGAAATTTACTTTAGGGCAAATTATGAGAATTTATCCAATCGAGAATTATATGTGCCTATCTTGCCCATCTTCAGTTCAAAAACTCCGGATAGAAGCCCGAAGTTTTCAGGATGTTTTTGGGTTTATGTAAGCGGTCTGATTTCGCAGTACGTCAAATAGCCTTAGTCGCCAAGGCGTCCTTAAACAGTCATACCATGATTTTGCAGTTCCAGTCTTAAGCACTATGTTATAGTGTGCTGGATGTGGACTTTATTTCTCATCCATGTAGCTTTATCCATGTAGTTTCCGTTACTTAGTTTCACAACGTCGCAACACTTGAAGATCACTAGAGTATCTTCGATGATGAAAAATTATCGTAAGCCTGATTACTTTTCCAACTGGGATCATCTTTCTGAAATTCTGAATGTTAGGATCAGAGGTGAATAAAACTCAAAAGCTGTCACCTACGCGATGTCTAGCTGTCACGAAATTTTTACGAGTCATCTTGAAACTGTAGGTGCCATATTTTTACGTTTCTTCATCACCTGGGCCCAGTACAATCAGAACTCAGGCAGGATTGTCAGTTGTCACTGATTCACTTCCCTTTGCTTCAGTAGTCAGAACCAATTATCAACGCTCCTACCAAGTTTCTGGGACCGATGGTCATGGACCTCACCCCAGTTGTGGCCCAGATGTGACGTCCCCCGTCCCAGTCGCCCGGTCCTCCCCTACTCCAGCGGCGGCCAAGGCCGCGCCGGTCCCTGCCACCGCTCAACCGGCGACGAGCGGGGACGAGCTGTCGCGCTGTCGCCGTTTTTCCTGCGTTGTCTACGGCGATTCACAACGCACCGGCTGTCGCACCGGCGGGATTTTTCAGCCCCAGCTGTCTACAAAGAGATGACGCTGCTAAATTTTTGTGCCGTGGTCCATAGTGGCCCTCTATGGGAAGACAGCTTTGATTTTAGCGGAAACGGCCTAGTTATCAATTTTAGATGCATCAACTGAGATGCTCGAATCTGTCTCGTTATTCCCATGGCTGTCACCTAAGCACGCAGGCGAGTAGCAGGTTTTTTCACCTCTGGTTAGGATGGAAGAGGCACTAGGTTCATCTAGTTAAACAGCATGGATTTATAGTTAAAATCTAGAAAACCTAAGAAAGAACATATCTCAGGCGCAATCGCCACCAATGCACGAGCCTCTATAATGCCTGCAACATATTCGATATTTTAAAACACTTCTTACACGGCTTTTTAAGACAGATTTTCTCTAAACTGGGCATTTGCCGTGATCAAAGCACGCGCAAAGTGATTCAGGCGCTTCAAATCCGTTCTTTCTTAGGGTTTCCAGACTATCGTAATGAACATATCTGCTCAAAAACCGTTTTTCTATTACAATGGATACTTTACGATAAAATGATTGGAAAAATAAGCACATGCTTTATGAGATAAGCGAATATGCTAGGAACATAATGGCAAGAAGCGGTGTCGTAGAAGCACGTGCTGGGTGAATTGATCAATTTGGGCGACTTGAGTGTACAAAAACATGCACCAAAGAATGCAACTGTACCCATCTTGATGACGAAAAGCTTGAAGGATCATGCAGGAGTCCATGATTACTGAATATCAAGGTATGATATCTACCAGATAACTTGAAATGCAGCAATCGTTTAATGGCCTATAGCCTCTTTTACAAGAACAGCTGAGTGGGTAATCATCCAACACTGAGCAGAATAATCCCCAGGGATGGATCCGCGACAGACTTGTTACCATGGCAACTGGCGTCAGCCAGTCATCTTGTTATCTAAGTTGTCATGGCAACGCCCGCTTCGCTGGTGCGCAAACGATGCACTGAGATAGCCAGCGTCTTATCGGATTGCATGTCTGTCCGCGCTTTTGAAGATTGGCGGCCGTATACATATCTTATCGGTGGAATAGTGGGATGCATCTGCTCGAAGCCCTATTTGAGGTAAAAATGGGTCATGTACGAAAATCATGAAAAGATGTCTTTAGACGGTATAAGGTGCCCGTGTCCTAAATTGATATGAACAATCAAGAAATGAGCAATTAAAAATTTTGTGCCATTGTGACATAGACAAACACTACTTTCATTGTTCTTGAGATATTTGCAAATCGTAACGATACCAAAAACTATGCGGCTAATGTAAGATGGTCGCAGATAATTAGGTAAAGAAATACTGCCACGAGAACAATACCAATCTTTTCTTTTCTTATTCCATTCAGGTACAATCTTCTAATTTTTGCTACTGGCATCCTCAGGAAAAGTGAGGGATTGTTGCTCGGAAAGGAGTCAAATGCCTACTCACTAAGGTATACTTACTTCTTTGTGGAGCTTGTGGAACTGTAGAACATCGATTGGAGAGAGGGACGCATGTGTCAGTAAAGAGGGACAGCTACACGCTCGCGCACAGACAATTAGCCGGGCCAGGCTAGCCATGCCAGATATATTGTTGCAATGTTGCTGCGTGTTAGCGAGAGAGAAACTTTGACCCATAGCTGCTCATGGACTGAGAGCGTTTTTGGGATCGACTTTTTATCACATCATAAACAAAAAGAAGATTCATTGCTATTCGATTTCGGTCAATGAATTTACATATAAAGTAATTATCGTTTTAAAAAGTTTAGCATTTTAGATAAACATCTTTAAAGCGAATCTATTTTAATCATAAGCGATGGCAAAATGAAAGAAAATATGAAGTGTGATCTTTGGTGTCTAGTTTCTGGCTGGGTGAGATTACAGTCCATTCCAGCAGATTGCTTGCTCTCTTGCATTAGCAGCTGTGGGTGTTGAGTCCCCTCTCGGGTATGTAATGCCAAACAGTGAAGCAGCCACCAAATAGCAAAACAATAGACAACAGAAAATCACTGAGAGACCCTGATAGCGCACAATGACGGGAATTGCGTGACATTTAGTGGAACGTAGATGGAAAAGTAATTACAACATTTGTGTGACAGCTGTGCTTATTGGCAATAATGTAATTGTCAATAAATGCAAACGAACAAACAGCGAAGTTATAAAAACTTAAATACATTTTGGTTGGAATTTTCCGGAATGGTGATTACATCGGCATCTCAATCTTATGAATTTTAACCCGCGCCCTGCTGGGGGGGGGGGGTGTTTGAACACCCCCCTTGTGGTTTTTCACGAATATCTCAAAAACGGCGGCGCGGAGCGCCGCCGTTTTTGGTACACCTTATCATACATCAATTCTACACATGTTGTGAAAATTTCAGACCAAGGTCATTCAAGGTCAGGTCACCAGGTCACTTGAAGTGACCTCACCTCATAAAAAGTTTCAATGTCTGTCATAGCTACACCGAGTGACCGATCGCTTTGAAACTTTCAGCGATTGCTAAGAGCAATAGCATGTACAAAATGCATATCTCAGAATTTTGATATCGATGACCTAAGGTCAGGTCAATTTTGCGACCTCCCCATTATAAGTCAATGGGAGAAAATTGAAATGCGCCTCTTTTGGACGAAAGACATTATAAACACTCCTAAACACTGAATTACAAGTGGTTTAGACACACTGAACATGGAAATGGTGTCCGTGACCCCTGTTTATGCCCTGAGGTCATCTTAGGTCACGAATGGTATCTAACAGTTTTTCGCAAATAACTGTTGATAGAGGCATGCTAGAGCGATGAAAACGCCTTAGATGTGTTCAGCTCGACGATACGGATCGACTGATATGCAACATGACCCTTTCCGGTCAGGTCATGACCTTGACCTGAGGTCAAATTTTCAAGTTGACCTTTCAAGGTCAAGTTATAGTTCATTCGATGCGTCTTGACGAGAGGAACACGATGCTGGTAAAAGTAAGCTCGTACAAGGCTTGGGTCAAAAGTTATTGCAGAAAAACTGTTTCCGAAAAAATAGGTTATTTTTGCAGTTTTTGCCCCCTGCAGGCAAAACCGTTGACGTTAGGTCAAATCTGAGGGAATTACTCAGAAAGGGCGTTAATAGGGCTATCGAATGCGCTTTTCCGCGGCGCTGTAGCTCTATTGGTTCCCGAGTTATGCGCTGGCTTCTTGGAAATTGTCGACATTCGACCTGGAAATCGGCGAAATTTTGCCTTCAATGACCTCTGGTGACCTGACCTTTGACCTGACCAAAAAATTGACCGAAGTGATTTCCTCATTATTTTTGACGCTCTTTCGAACGCCGCCTTCCGCGTATCGCTACGTGACCCAGGAGCCGAGTTAGAAGGGGGGGTGTTCAAACACCCCCCCAGCAGGGCGTGGAAATCCAGGACCCCCAGCCGGGCGCGGGTTAATAACTAAATCAGTGGAATAAAATAAATATACGTTACGAAAAAAGAATAGCAATGATAAATATTAATGTGCAGTTATTTGAGCATGTTGAAAAATGGAATTTGTATGATAAAATGGAATAACTGCTCACTGTTCAACGGCGTGCTATCGTACAACTTTTGTTATGATCTGAAGCAAGCGTCTGTACATGTTTGTGTTGTCATGACACCGGTTAAACAGCATTACATCTATCACAATGTCATGTGAAAGAAGACAGTCCCAGCATACCAAAGATCAGCATGCCATCTCACCTTTTCTTTGACGTGGGATTTGTTGCGTTTGTCAGCAGGTTTTTGTAGTGCTCCGAGCGCAAAAATCTTGGATAGCAGTCCTTTTTCAGAAGAAGGTCGAAGATGTGGTCAGCTGCGTAGTCGTACGTGAAACGTGTGGGATTTTTCAAAAGTTCTTGAGTGCGCTCCATTGTTTTTCCGTCGATGTTGATCTCACATGGTGCCCCCGGCCGCAGAAACTCGCTGAAAAATGGAAACGCTGTATTACAGTGTGTTCAAAACTAGACATAGTGGCCAGTGTTTGTGATTTGGTAGTTTTACTCAGGGCTGGTAAAAAGTGCCGATTCGGTGATAATATCGGAGCCACGCCAGCAACTGTTCGTAGGGTTTAAAGAGCCAAAATTAGGCGATTCAATGCAAGTTTGTATGTGCAAGATAACTGATAAGTTTGGTAGCATATCTTCAGTTCATTTTTACGACAAATTTCAGCATATTAGATGCTGAAACACAAATATTGATTTAGTAGCAGCATCTTAATTCACAATGAGATATTTTGCGCAATCTTTGTCTACATTCACTTTAACAGCTGACAGCCTATTCAAAATGGTTCCAAATGTTCACCGTGAACACCGTCAACATCCGTCAGTCGATGAGCCATCAGTCGATTTCAAGCTTTAACACTACGGAGAATAGGGCTCCGTAGCTTTTATCAGTTGATGAGGAGCTAGTGTTGAGAGAACGGGGAGCCACTGACTCTTCTACTATTGGCGGCTCACTGTATTACCGACTAGTTTTAGAACACGAATATTGGTCTTTATTATACTCGTAGTAAGGTCTCGTGCAAGGCTGCATCATGGCCAAATCATGGCTGCATTGGGCTGCATCTCGTGCAGGTCGCGGTTCAGAGTGATTGGGTCTGCATATTTTTTGTACATTTTTGGGTATACTTTTTGTTGTATGTCGGATTTATTTGTTGTTGTATGTTCGTTGCGAGTTGAAGGTGCTCTTCTTCTCTCCAGTATGTACATCAGGGTAGCAATATCATTGGTCGCATTATAGGTACTGTGTAGTGTGTACTGGTACCTCAATCTAATTCTAATATGTTGATGTAGACATAAGTATGACTAGTTTTGATTTTTGATACATAACTCAAGCAGCTCATGATTTTTAAATTTATTTGCCCACCATCCTAGTATATTTATTGCATTAGCTACTGAATCTTTACTTAATCAATGAATGTTTCCATTTATGTTTTTTTTTTTTGGTGTGTCAAGCTCAAAATTGAAAATAAGATAGCCTATTTATGTGAGCTATCATATCTTTTCAGAAATTTTGTGACAGAAGTCAATGTGACTTATAATGCCTTCGGTGCTTGAGTTCTGAGCTTGATACATCAGTAGAGATATATCGGTCGGATATCAGATGATGAAGAATATGACTGACCCTTTGCTAGTGAGGGAGATGATAACATTTCCTCTATTGGTAAGTCAAAATTATAATTTATATACCCTACCTTTCCGACTGTCATCAGCCAAATTAGACAAAATTAGGAAGTCATCTACATCCGTTTTGTGTGTTTGAGGCGAGCTAATGTCCCACAATGAGGCTTTATCAGTGAGCTAAAAAAAGGTGATGTTTAAACTGATGCCAAAGAGAATGTTTTCGCTTCTTTTTCCAAATCATTCTGTGAGGAGCCACTTTTAATCTAAGAAAATTTGGTCAGGGCAACCAAAACCATTTTTACCAGCCCTGGTTTTACTAAAAAAAAAATGTACGATCAAGATAACATCTCACATATTACGATAGGACGATCAGAACTTTGCCGTTAAGTTTCATCAAAATGTATAAATATCATGATCAATTATTTTCCAAATATTTTTGGTAATAGTAGCGCTGAGCGAAAATATGGTGGCTTTTCGGTTGACAAAGCTTCCACACAATTCAAGACGCCTCTCGGCTATTAGAATTCCCATGTGATTTGAGAAGTCTCTCGGGTCGCAGAGGCGGCAGACGGCCGCCTTCGATCGATGTCTGGCACACAGTTGAACTTTGCTCCGTGGCGCTCCAGGCACCAGACGACTGCAAATCCGTACGCCTTTCTAGGACTGGTATAGAAAGGGCACATAATGCCGGTTTTGGAACTATTTTCGTGGGATAAAAAGTCATTAGCGGCAAGCTGTTGAAGTGTGTTGAAGAGCATGATATTTGCTTTGATTGGAATGTCGCCTAAGTATCCACTTTGTAGTCTGATTTGGCATAGGATTGCATTTGAAAGACTTTTTTTCAATGCTGACGACACGCTAGTGAAAGAGCTAAAATACGAGCAGTCAAATGATTTTTTCGTGATAACCTATCATTTCACTCCCTCCCCAGTCCCCATTCAATCAACCTTCGTAAAATTAAGCACAAAGTTTCGACAAACGATTTACGAAGGTTTTTCATTGTTTGTCCTAAAACATCCACCATTTCCATCACTCACTCGTAGATGTGGCGGACCTCGTCGGGCACCTGACTGAGAGGCATCTTCTTCAGCTGATGGACGGCGCTCCAGAAGCGGATGTTCTCGTGGCTGAACTCCTTCCGCATGCAGGAGGTAAACTCGTGAAGGCCAGTGGGGTCCGACACCGTCTCTTCCATGCTGATGGCCCAGCGGCGCACGCGGCGCTCCGTGGGGAATTCCACGCTAAGTGGGAGTAAAGGGGGAGGTTAGAGGGGCTCAGGAGGGTGTTAATTGTTGACTATGGTCAGGGTTGTGTGAGAGTAAGACTCAGGGGAGATGGCGTCTCTCTCTCTCTCTCTCTCTCTCTCTCTCTCTCTCTCTCTCTCTCTCTCTCTCTCTCTCTCTCTCTCTCTCTCTCTCTCAGTAGCCCTCTCTCCTCTTAGCGTCTCTCTCTTGGCTTGAGTGGAGCAGGAACTGCTTCCTAACTTGCTTAAAGATGCAAAAATATGGCCCACAGTTTGAAGTTGACATGGTCATCAATCACGGTCCAAATTGTTGCGAGGAGAACCCATGGGGACTTCATTAGGTTTCGCCATCTGCAAACTCTGTTTGGTCGTTAGGCTTGCCTATAACTGCATCAGCGCAGCCTAGTTCAGCCCTCATCGGCTCACATTGACTAAATGGGATTCACAGTGTTTACAATTTACATTCACCGGGTGTAACTGAGCAGAACTAGCATTGGTAGGTATCACTGTATTACTGTATATTATTTTTGAATTTTTGGGGGAAGCGGGACTTTCAACAGTTCAATGAAACTCGTCGTGGCTTAGGAAGGCTGACAATGACTTATTTCCTCACTCCTCACAGTAACTAGCCGCGGCTTTTCCAAATTCACAGAAGCTCAAAGTGAGACGCATGAACACAAAATGACTCATAGGGATCCACAATAACACAGTAACTTACGAAATCACAAAATCACCCACAGTAGTATAAAATTACATTCAGAAGCTCGCAACGGCCTAAACAAAGAGCAAACGCACCTCGTGACTCAGCAACTAAGGACCTCCCAGACGGGCTCACGGCAGCTCACATTTACTCACAACTCCTACAATCTCACGGCAACTCACAGCGGCTCGTTGAGTTCCATGAACGTCGGATCGTCCGTGAGCCACGGGTTGCTCGGCTGGACGGGCGAAAGAAACGGGTCCAGCTCCAGATAGGTGTCGTGATGGGACAGCATGCTTTCCGCCACCTGGGAGATCTTCATACGCAGACGTCCGAGCGTCATCTTCAGAAAGCTCAGCTGATGGTGAGGAAATATGACGTCAGTGGGGTGGTCACTGGTCAAGCAACGTATTTAGATTGAATTTGATGGTAAATGGTTTGCTTTATTAGAAAAAGCCAAAAGCAATCGTGTTGCGTCATTTAATTTCGTGTTTGTGATCTACGTAGCACCTCAGCAATACTTTGTTCTAGTTATATGTTTCATCAAATCATAGGCTTCATTATTACACTGAAGTTTCGTGTACAAATAAATTGCACCTTCAATAGCCCCGTTTCCATGGGCACCCGCGATCCGGATCAGTAAAAGTGGATTAGTTAATCTAGTATAGTTAGACACTAAATGAAAATGAGAACAAGGGATTAACTGATAATATAAGCCTAATCCACTTTGAATTATCCCGCCAGTTGCTGGGGTATTTCCCCACCCACCGTTTGCTTGGGGGGAGGCGTTAAACGCCCCCAGCCGATAACTCGAGAACCAATAGGCGCAGCGAAACGCACGAGGCGGCAAACGAAAGAACGCGACGAGACGCTTCAGATGAGTACTTTAAAGTTGAATTTTGAGGTCACAGATCGGGTCAAGGTCAGGTCAAACACCTGAAATCGGGCTTTCAGTAGCATGGACTTCAGGGCTTCGCAATGGGCGCCTCTCGTCATAAACTCTGTCAAAACGGTGCACAATCCATCATATAAGGCCTACAAGAGTGTCAGCTCCATGTAGGGGTCACTCAAGCATAGGTCAGGGTCAAGGTCAGGTCAACCGGTTAGGTACATATCCCCGAAAATCAAAACTGATATTCGCAGCCTGTGACACATGTTTTATGGGTAATTTGGGGCGTAGAACACGATGGTGATATTTATTTTATCATATGTGTACGTGATTGGCTCAAAAAGTTCAATTTAAAAATTCATGTATCATGGTCGTGAAGTAGTCCCGAGAAATTGCCAAGATTCAGTTCAAGATTTTGGAAAATGCGGAACGATAATCAATAATCGAAGATAGCCATTTGATTGTACATGGTATTGGCAGTCTAATGGCGTTTACCGCATGTTCGTATGTCTATTCCGTGATTTTATATGATTTTTTGAATATATGCCGTTTTTGGTCGAAAACTCAGAAATCATGACGTCACTAAAACCCCGATATCTCAAAAATTGTCCGACCGATTTTTTTTTTGAAACTTTGTCACAATAAACTTCAATCAATTCTCTACAGGTACCCAAAAATTTGGCGCGCCTGCGGCGCGCCGTTTTCATACTATGGCCCGGCGAAAAAAGTGGGGGCGTTTAACGCCCCCCCCCCCCCAGCAACTCGCGGGTTATAGCCTGTAACGAAGAGTCCGAGGAATATTATTATGCGATTTAAATTTGCTGATCCGGATCACGAGTGCCCATGGAAACGTGGTCAATGAGTACAATAACAAATGCACTCATGGCAGGCATACGCCGGACGGTTGTGTTAGTGACCTGCACGGGTCGATAATGGTGATATAATTGCGGTATTAGCACCCACTACCACCAATTACCTTCACCTACGAGCGATGACGTATCGATGGTAGTTGGATGATAATTGGCCTAGACGATCTACACTACGCTATTACGAAAATAGCATGTGGCACGTTTCCACAGCGGAAAGGAAATAACGGAAGTTGCTCACGGTAGATGAATAAGAAATGAAGTGACGATTGCAGTGTACTTCGTTGGACAATGTGAAGCAGTGAAAATATTATAAGCTATATCATTTAGTCCTATGTGTGATCAAGAAGGCACGCGCTCCTTCCTTGACTCGGTGGCAGTAGAGACTAGAAACAGATTAATGACCACGGCCCACCTACGCACATTACTACAACATGATTAACCCGCGCCCGGCTGGGGGTCCTGGATTTCCACGCCCTGCTGGGGGGGGTGTTTGAACACCCCCCCTTCTAACTCGGCTCCCGGGCCACGTAGCGATACGCGGAAGGCGGCGTTCGAAAGAGCGTCAAAAATAATGAGGAAATCACTTCAGTCAATTTTTTGGTCAGGTCAAAGGTCAGGTCACCAGAGGTCATTGAAGGCAAAATTTCGCCGATTTCCAGGTCGAATGTCGACAATTTCCAAGAAGCCAACGTATAACTCGGGAACCAATAGAGCTACAGCGCCGCGGAAAAGCGCATTCGATAGCCCTATTAGCGCCCTTTCTGAGTAATTCTCTCAGATTTGACCTAACGTCAACGGTTTTGCCTGCAGGGGGCAAAAACTGCAAAAATAGCCGATTTTTTCGGAAACAGTTTTTCTGCAATAACTTTTGACCCAAGCCTTGTACGAGCTTATTTTTACCGGCATCGTGTTCCTCTCGTCAAGACGCATCGAATGGACTATAACTTGACCTTGAAAGGTCAACTTGAAAATTTGACCTCAGGTCAAGGTCATGACCTGACCGGAAAGGGTCATGTTGCATATCAGTCGATCCGTATCGTCGAGCTGAACACATCCAAGGCGTTTTCATCGCTCTAGCATGCCTCTATCAAAAGTTATTTGCGAAAAACTGTTAGATACCATTCGTGACCTAAGATGACCTCAGGGCATAAACAGGGGTCACGGACACCATTTTCATGTTCAGTGTGTCTAAACCACTTGTAATTCAGTGTTTGGGAGTGTTTATAATGTCTTTCGTCCAAAAGAGGCGCATTTCAATTTTCTCCCATTGACTTATAATGGGGAGGTCGCAAAATTAACCTGACCTTAGGTCATCGATATCAAAATTCTGAGATATACATTTTGTACATGCTATTGCTCTTAGCAATCGCTGAAAGTTTCAAAGCGATCGGTCACTCGGTGTAGCTACGAGAGACATTGAAACTTTTTGTGAGAGGTGAGGTCACTTCAAGTGACCTGGTGACCTGACCTTGAATGACCTTGATCTGAAATTTTCACAACATGTGTAGAATTGATGTATGATAAGGTATATCAAAAACGGCGGCGCTCCGCGCCGCCGTTTTTGAGATATTCGCGAAAAACCACAAGGGGGGGTGTTCAAACACCCCCCCCAGCAGGGCGCGGGTTAAAACAGCATCTGGCGAAGGGGGTCTGCACTCGATCTCGAAAAATCAGACTGCTGTCTTCAGTGGTATGCCTAAGTCTTGGTCCTAACACTAGCTTTTATTGGATTGACCTGAGTCTGAAATCAGAAGAAAATATATGATCTAGGCTGTTTATTAATTACTCGTCGGGTGGGCAGGCTGAAATCTAAGCCAATTAACAACTTGTTGAATTAACAAGTTTTCCCGCTCACTTTCCAAACTTTTATCCAAGTTCTAAATAAACTTCTACAAGGGACGATGTGTAAACAATTCAAGGATACGGAGAACAGTGTTGCTCAACGACCCATGCATTGTTCACTCTATTCAGGTGGCCTATTATCTTTAAAGGCGAATCTGAATATTTTCCTTCTTCCACATCGCCGTCTTACTGTTCATTCGAATGAAAATTCAGTGGACATCAGAATACTAAATGGTGCTACATTCTGGTAAGGTTTTCTCATAATGAACTGATAAAATATAAATAATGAAAGCACAAGTACCACAGGGAAGCAGTCATCTAGCTACACAAAAGGGATTACAGACCTCATGATCAGTTCCTCAACCTTTCTCCCCTACATCCTTCTCTTTCTCTTCCTATCCAGCTCCCTCCAACTAACCCTCCCCACTCCTTCCCTCTCCCTCCCTCTCTCCCCCTTCCCCTCTCTCTCTCTCTCTCTCTCTCTCTCTCTCTCTCTCTCTCTCTCTCTCTCTATCTCTCTCTCCTTTCCCTTCCCTCATCTCCCTCCCTTCTCGCCCTCTCCCAATCCTCACATCTCTCTTCAGCGTGGCCACGGTGGGTGCCCGACTCGACTGGTGTCGGCTTCTGTCCGGCACGGGAGGCATCTCCAGGGCGTTGGTGAAGCCTGGAGGAGGCCGGTACACCCTCCAGTAGGCCCGCTCCTGGCTCTCTGATACGATCTTGTCGCCTTTCTTGCGGTCCTTGGCCATTTTGAGCTGTGGGAGAGCGAGAGATGTGAATAATGGTTAGATGGTATGCATGGCAACATACGTGTAGACATATGCAGCGGGCGACATGCTTGATCATTGTGCGATTGGGAAATGTCGTTTGAAATATCAATGACGTCTCATCACTCGCTTTTGGCATTCATCTATATTGACTTTGATCTTTATTTTACTGTATTACTGAAAACAAATAGCTACAAAGCTGGTCAAGGATAATTCAATATGATCTGTCATTCGTTATACGAAATATAGGTATTAACAATTGCTGTAAAATCAAGTTGATGACTGGTGCACACTGGCTACTAACAGCATCAAAAACCTGGAGCGTGCCACTGATATGATGAGATCTGGCTCGCCTTACCTGTTCGTCTGCCTGCATCGCAACAAAGTCCCATTTTGAAGCAAGAGTCTTTTTGAGCTGATGGTACCCTTCCTGTGAACATAGAACGCGAAATTAGGTAACAGTATGTTATTCGACGTGCTCCTATCATTTCTTATTGTCATGGGGCAAGGAAGAACAATTCGGCTATTTTCCAATCGGTTTGAAAATCACTAATCAAATTATATAACTGAAAACTTAATTACCTGACTAGCATACATACACATTTGCAGACGCTTAGCATACACAATTGCAAAGAAAGTTAAGTTGAGCTTTTTCGTTGACTCCGTGTTCCAACTGAACGTGTTGGGGCAAATCCTCGTTGTATTTTAGCAAATTATACGAGCAACGTTCCGTAACAAAGATATCATGGCTTAGTTGTACTTGCTTCTCCTGAAGCCCCGTCAAAAAGTGTTTTTTTTTTAGCTCGTCGTCTTACCAGTTCACAGTCCTCGAGTCCGTGTTTCTGTTTGTTTTTGGCGATCTTCTTGTGGAGGTATATGGCGTAATCGGTGGAGTCCGGCACGTGATTTCGAGAGGGCCAATAGTATGGAGTCTGAAAAACAGACAATAACCGTTCTCGTAAATGGTCAGTTATTTGTTCGGGAGGGCTAGGATCGACGGCATTTTGTTTCATTCTCTTATGCGGTTACTAGGCAACGTATGTCATATGTAAGTTATCGGTGCCGTGTTTCAACATTTGTAGGTGTTCAGTTATGCAATATAAAGTGATGGGAACATGAATGGAAAAAAACGAATGCTTACTACAATTTCAGTCTCCACTCTAAAAGCCTATTGGCATTGACCACACTAGGATAAATGATAACAATAACAAGTCAAATGTATATTTAGACACACAAAGCTTTCGGTACGAAAATACCTTGATCACTGTGTTACAGAAATGAGGACAGAAATGATCACCCAAGTGATCACCGGCATCTTGTACACAAATATAAAATAGCACTCGAAAAATATATCACAGTCACGAGATTAGCTATCGGGGTCCTGCCACTAAGTTCACAGCGCATGTTGCTAAAGTTATAAAGCCAGTTCTAGTATTGATGGCATCACGTGCAGATATGTGAGCCGCTTCTAAGATTTTTCGTGTCGTTTTTCGTGCGCCTTTCTCTAATAATCGAGTTGCTCCCCAGTTCGGAAAATGATGAGATTGTTCGAGATTGAGATTGAGATTGTTTACAATTGACCACACTCATTGGTGCCACACCACCATATCGTGCAGCGCGAAACGCTTGAAACCCTCAGCCGAAACAGATGGCCACGTTTTAAATTCAGCACTATATCTTTGACGCTACAAACGACCCAAAAACGAATCACCACTTCCCCAAATTACTCTTGTGGCCGAGCTTTAGCGGCTGTACAAAAACCGTTAGAAATGGAGCGTAAAAGAGCCGCCCTGAACATGGCTTTATAGTTGAAATCCGGCGCCGGTTTAAATGATGGCCGCTGGAAATCGGCCATCAGCTCGGTCACACAATGATATCCAGTCACGCACGGCCTGCCAATGGATAAACCAGACGAAAATACGCCCCATCACATTCGAAAGTTTGGAGGGATTACGAGGTTTGAGGAACGCTTTATCGTTGAGGGGTAATTGGACGCTAATGATCGTATCTTTGATCAGATAGGATAAAGAGTGTTGTCTAATCGAAAGAGTACCTAAAGCAATTAAAATAAATATTTATGCATTACCAACTTTGCATTATTGCAGCCAACTTACTGGTTTTCAATGAGAAAGGAAATGCATACTCTAACCATCCCATGTCACTAACTGTAAATGTAAGGAAAGAGGAAAGAGTTGAAAGCTATTATAGAATGACCGTTTCAGTGTCTAAACTATGACCTGTCAATGACCTGGAAACGGTAGAAAGAAGAATATTATTTCATCATTGACCTTATGGCCTGCCACTGACCTGGAAACGGTAGAGAGAAGAATCATCTTTGACCTGGAGCGTCTTGGCGTCGCCGACAGGAAAGAAGTAGCCGTGCTGACAGAGAAGGGAGGCCAGATGGAGTGCCTCGGCTGCAACAGAGCAACAAAAACACTCGTCAGTGACCAATATATTGATCATTGCAATACTGGGGACTGCATTGAGCCTTGGACGCAAGGAAGCAGCAACTCACATCGATGATCTCCAGGATACTGCGGAGTGCGAGGACCTTCGCCGCATGGGATCAAAAATGAGAACAATGCAGTGATCACTGCAATACTAGGGAATGTGGGGAGTCTTGGAAACGAGGAAGCAGCAACGCACATCAGTGATCACAGCAATATTATGGAATGCGTAAAAACTTTGTTGCATGAGAGCAACAACGAACAAAAGTTAGTGATCATTGCAGTACTGCAAAGATGTGGTCAAGTCGGCGCAGCAACACGGAACCAGGAAGATACGAAGGAACAAATAATCACTACACACTACACAGTAGTGCACGCTGCAATGCTACGGAATGCGTGGAACCTTGGCTGCAAAAAAAGTCGCAACGTACATCAGTGATCTTCGGTGAACTGGCGGAATCCGTTACTGCTTGGTTGCAAGATATCGATAACAAAAACTCATATCATTGATCATTCTGCGAAATGCAGGGAACATCAGCTACCAATGCATGCTGTAATTATTGCAACGCGATGGAATGGCCTAGCATGAGCGTTACTTGGATACTCAGGACACTCGGACGATTCGGACGGCGAACTTGTGATGACCAAACAAGTCAACGCGCATTATAAGTGAAGTTCACATTAAGCATGGGCCAGAAGGTTGCTTATGATGGCATTGGGCATTTACTTCGTTTAAATTTCTGGAGAAGAGTACATGTCAAAAGAAAAACAAGAAACAATTCAAGGCTCAGTATGTCGTGGCCCAAAATCCGTGACAGGCGGTAGTCCAATATCCGCTATAAGAAGTCACCCAGAAAGATTCCACACAAATTCACTGGCCAGCAGAGCCTCACATTACCCCGCTGGGATTGGTTGGCTGTCGGTGACGTAAGCTCTGACGTCAGCGGGACGTGACCGAGTGATAGCCGGCTCTACACTTCCCTGGAGTTCGGAATCCGGTAGATTCATCGATAAATGACTGATGAAGCGCCAGTCTAACTGATATTTATTCGTGATGGGATTTCATGGAATATGAAGTTTCCAGTGAACTTAGTAGGTACGGAATTCTTCAAAGTGGTGAAATATGTAAATTGTAAATGTTAAAGAAGATCAACATATTTGTTAGGACACTGGCGCTATAGGGATACGTCTGCAGGCGTAACGCCCGTACCTGCAGCACTACGGCTTTTCATCACCATTATCCAGTTGGGGAATGATACAGAGCACAACAACTTGTTAATAATTCAAAATGATCCAATAATCAGCGTTTAGATTTAATCAGCGGCAGCACTTCGATAAAAACACCTGGCACCTGGTAACTTGAGACCGCTATTGACTCGCACATGTGCTTCAAAAACATATCATCAGTCGTAAGGCGCAATGTGTTGGTGTGTTTTCTTCGGCGCCTGTGGCCCGAAACCAGCATGCGTATGCAGATTATCTACATAGACTTTGTCGTCTTGCACCCGCATGTGAATATCGATCTGAATATCAAGTGTATTTATTCGCGTCTGGCCTTGTCAAGGCCGACTTGTTTGGTCTAGTCTGTCTGGTCGGGTGTGATT